CACACACACACACACACCTCAGAGCGTGTTTCTCATTAGTTATCCTACCCATCTGTTTGGTCAAAGTCCAACAGAAATCATGAGACACTACCTTTCTGCATGTGTGGAATATCATGAGACATGTGTTAGTGGACTTTAACACTGGCAGACACAAAAACGTGTACGCAATTCATTTACACATCACCCTTTTTATGTCTGACATTTTAAGTCCTGTAAATGTATGCTTTAGTCTGTGTTTGTACATTGAGAGCAACACAACTTGTATGTGTGCACATACCTCGCCCATAAAGTGATTCGGATTGTGATTGTAATTTTGGATGTTTTCAAAATGTGAGAAAATAACATTTAGATAATATTTTTTTAAAATATTTAGCAGTACAATTCAGGTAATGTGTGTGTTTATGGATTTAAGATTCATTGCTACAGTCATAAAGGAGTTTCAGAGGCTGGTAGACAAAGTTGTTTGGAGGACATAGCAGAGATTCAAGAAGTTGTAAGAATGCATTTGTCACAATATAGTTCCCATTGTTTAATGTTTTACTGTCTTACTAGTGTATCATGATTTCAGTCTGCTGCTGCAGCGTTTCCCCTTATCATGATACCTGAGAATGACCTGACTGAGATTAGAGAAGCCTGCTTCATTTGTATTGATTCTGTAAATGTGCTATATACACATTATGTCAGCTGATAGATCAGGCACAGAAACCTACATATTTAATGTCACGTGTGCAGGGTTGCTACCAATGGTAAATTCAAATCTGTAAAGAAAAATCATATGCAATAATTTATCTGCACTAGAGACTGAAAGAGAGTGAGACAGCCACTGACTGAAGGGGCAGACAGATGGCTATAGACAGACAGATTGCAAAACTTATTAACAGCGTTTGGCTTTCAATAACAGTGTAATTTAATTGCTGCAGTTCCATCTCGTGATCCTTTAAACTGTCAGCAGGAGTCCTCATGAGCGCCAGTGGAAGACAATTCAGTTTCTCTCATTTTCGGCACTCTTGTCCTTGTGAGAAGGACACTAATTTGACCGTGCTGCCTGTCTCACACTACAAATCTATGCAGTGACCCTTTGACACCCTCCAGCTATTTCATGACAGTCAGTTTGAGATATTGTTCTGGACATATTGTGTCAGGGTTTACAGGTCTTTGATCACTTCATTTTCTTAGAGCCCATCCTCTCAAAAATAGGTTTTTCTTTGTGTTCCTGGTCCAGTATGCAACAGTGTGATGCAGAAACCTGAATCCGCCAATGCACAGGGACTTTACATTGAAGAAGGAGACATTTTGTGTGCATATTGATAGGAATATTCAATGAGTTAGAAGGAGTAGAGGCCTTATTTAGGATTTTAACGTGGAAAAAACACATTTTATTGTTCCGAGCAGATTATTTATGTGTCTTAATGCATGTCTGGAGGAGGTATTAATATAATCATTGGGAAATATACACTGTAAATAACTCTATTGTTTGTCTTAAGTTTCCCATCCACTGAAGAACCAATCAAAACTGTATTGAGATTTCATAGAATTTCTCCCAGGGCCATTCTGAGTATTGCCTGTATTTATTTATCCATCAGAGTGTTTATTTTTGATGTTTTGGACTTTCACCTCCTACTGGTCATATTGATTTAAAGATACGAATGGTCTCGCAGCAAATAATAAATAAATAAATACATGAAGCTGTTTTAATCATAACATTTTAAAATCTAAACTGATTGTGCATACAGTAGGGGTAATCCATATGAGACCATTCTGTGAACTCTGCCTCTGTTTGTCACATGGAGGTACTGAAAAACATTGATATGTTCTTGAAAAATACCTTTTTTATTTTACAGTGCATGTAATAAAATATCATTATAAATAACAACATATCTTAATAAAAAAACTATAGTTAACATAACTCAATCCTCCAAAAAAATGAAAATCCTCTTAATGATTTCCACCAAAGATCTGATGTTAGTCACATAAATTAGGTTTTAGTTAATCAATTGATTTTGATAATGAATAGTTTTTATTGTGCGTCAGCTGTTTTGACAGGTAATATAATAATTTGCTTTAGTGGAAGAAAACTTAGTAAATTCAGTGGAAAGTAGAAACATTTGTACAAAGAAGATGCATTCAATTTATTCTAACTTTATTATAGATAAAGATAAATATAGACACATATAATAGATAAATTCTGTTAACACTTTTAAAATAAGTTTGGAGAAATGCTGCATATGACTGTAATTATAGTTTCAAGTTCAGATATACTGAATGGACTTAATTTACCCAACAAACACTTCAGTTAGTTGCACTGAAATCACATATTCTTTTTCAGCTGAACTAACTCATCAGGGTTTACAGTGCTGAACTCTGTTGGTGTCCAATATAGTCTAATAATTATTTTAGGAGTTCAAGGGACATTTTCTTTGCATTACATAAAATTATTTTCCATTCCGTATCAATAAAAGTCTGATTTAGACCTGAGTCCTGTCCCTGTTGTGATATTATCATTGAACAGTATTTTTCTTTAAAGTGTTCAAACTCTGTTAGCAGATTGGAGTAAGGCCTTACAATTGTCAATAAAGGTTCTTCCAGAAATGATCGTGTTGAAGGTCTTAGTTTTATGAAACTTTTCAATGTGTTTCCCTCAGGTCCTTCACAGACAGAATACCCATTGCTGCCCACAGCATCCAAAGAAAATGTTGTTGTTAATAAAAATATCAGGCAGCATTTTTCTTTTTCTGTTAAAGAAAACACAAGGATGGAAATTAATGATGATCAGAAACAAACAAAAACAAAACAGTTTCATTAAGAAGTGCACTTGAATGTTAATGTTTGATTTGAACACCTTTACTGAGAGCATTAAAGGCTTTAATGAGAGCAGACATGCTTTATGCATACAAGAGATGGTGGTCAGGAATATATTCCTGTGACATCTTTATTAAAGGGAAAATCCATTCCTTTAATGTATTGCGTAACAACAAGAGGCACACCCTTACCTTTTATCTGACAGCAAATCACTCTTTCAGCATCCATCCTAAATCTCTGAGTCATGAGATGTACATAACCTCTCTAATGCAGGACGTAACATCATTAGTTTTCACTTTGCAAATGTGAACAGTGAAACCACGCACATGACTCCAACTTCTCATACTGTGCTCCCAATTACAAAACTGGTTCGGCTCCATTATTGAATCACCAACTGACTATTCTGAGTGTAGTCAGCTGATCGTGTAGCAGTTTTCAGAAATAAAAAAATCCATCTTTTGGTAAAGACCGTCTTATAGGGAAAAGAGAATGAAACTGCATGTTTTCTGCCATGCTATTAAGTGCTATTAAAGTGCACATGATAGCACTTGACTAAATGCTGATTGCTGAGATGGATCTGGAGCTCCTGTGACCTGCAGCCAATATTATGAGGCTAAGAACATACTAAGAATCGTCTTTGATCATTTTTAGTAGACGGTGTCCGTTTTAATCTCTTATTTAATGGTCTGCATGTCATTTCAACACAAACAGATCAAATATTAAAGCTACATTTAAAGATTCTGGTGGTTGAGTTTAGCCATAGAGACAATGGTAAAAGGTAAGAGTTAAAGTCCTGTGTGTATGATTTAGTGGCTTCTTGCAGATTGCAACTCCCTCGCTTCACCTTCCCCTTCCCAACGCAAAGGAGAAACTACGGTGGCTGCGTAATGTGCGAATGGACCCTGTCTAGAGCCGGTATCTGGTTTGTCTGTTCTGGGTTACGTTGGAAACATGGCGGTTCAACATGGCGGCCTCCAAAAGAAGGCGACCTCTGGCATCTGTAGATATAAACGGCTCATTCTAAGGTATACAAAAACAAATCAAATTCTTCTTTTCAGGTGATTAAACACAAATGAAAACAGAGCGATGACACATTTCTGCCAATAGATCCTCCTAAATGTGACACACTGGGCCTTTAAGGGAGTGTGTTCGCTCTGGCTAAAGATGGTTTTTCTTTGGCATGTGGGACACAAGAGAAAGTCCTCCAACCTTCACCTTCACGTAACGCAGCTCTGATTCATTCAGGGTTGAGCATGTGAACAGTGCATGATCAGGGCGGAGAGCTCGTGACGTCACGCGCCAGGCTGCCCAATAGCAGCGCCGCTCTCCAGCCTATGATTGTACAGTAAATACTATGAGCTCTGCCTCCTTCGCTCTCGCTGCAGCGGTGAAAGCAGAGGGTTTAACCGAGACAAACCCGCGGATGTGCCATAAAACCGCCTGTTACCGCTGAGATACCCTTCTGTGCCACAAGTTCACCTGCTGGGCTCGCAGCTCTCCGGTGGTGTAGTCGAAGATAAGAAGCTATCTGTGTTAAAGGGGAACCTGAGCAAGCTGAGAGCCACATAAGAAGGGGGCGGGGGGGTGTTTGTCGGCCCGCTGCAGTCTGAATCACCGGAGACTCGTCCCACCGCTGGTTCATCATCGACGTCGTTCGCCCAGTGTACGTGCATCCTCTCGGAGGAAGAAAGCGACGGGAAGAGACGGGGGCCCGAGCCCGTGTTTGACCCTCTGCCGCAGCCCCGAGGTGCGCTGCTTGGTAGAGCATGCTAAACAATGAGCCAAAGGGACACACTGGTTCATTTGTTCGCCGGAGGGTAAGTCAGACGACAGATTTGTATGTAGATATTAGTTAGTTATGTTGTGTTTATTTTTAAATGAACGTGTTCAACGTTTGAGTAGGACTGTGGTTTATGTAGCTAGCCAACAAGGGCCGTGTTATGTGCTACAGCCCTGGCATCCGTCCGTCACGTCAGGCTCCAAATCCTGTCAACACTTCAAAATATGTCCATCTATGCTGCAAAATGTGAACACAAAATAGGACATACACGGCGAGGATGTGACTTCAGGGATACGACAGAGTATTTCCGCTTATTTAAAATCAATTTTTCCTGCAAAAAAGACTCATTATAAATCTAGTGACAAGGTTTTAGGCTTCTATTTCGGAGGAGAAATTAATTTGTTTCCGGGATCGTTGCTGCTCTCTCTCGATAACTTGATGAAGTTCTGCAGCAGCAGCAGTGCTACTCCTTTGCTCCAGATATTTTGCATTATAAGAACAGAAGAGAGGAATTAGATGAACGAAACGAAATGCCAGTGACATGTATGTGTGTGTGGAGTCAGTAGTGTCATTTATTCCTATATATTTCGTTTCTTTATTGGTGGATAGGCCTATTAACAACCGTTGAAATCCCAACTCCTGTGATTAAATCTATGTCTCTTTAGGGGGT